CCTTTGTCAGAGTTGGATGACGCTGAATTCCGCGTGCGCGCACGGGCCGCACTTGTACGTCGGGGTGCAGCCGCACGAACCTGCGAGCTGACCCAGGTCTTGGAGCGCGCCGAGGCCTTCGAGCGCCCGCGCGAGGACGCCCTTCTCGTCGGCCATGTGGGAGGTGAGCACGGCCAGGGCGCGGCCGGCGCGCGCGCGCGCGCCGTAGGTGCCGCTTCGCAGCAGCTCGATGAGGGGCGGGATCGCGCCGGCCCCGGCCAGCGCGAGCCGGACGTCGGGGCTGGAGCACGCGAGGTTGCCCAGGGCCCAGGCGACCATCTCCTTGACGAGGGCGCTGCCGCTCCGCTCGAGGTCGACGAGCGCATCGATGGCGCCCATGCCCATGATGATAGCCGCGGTGTCGTCGTCCCACGCCATGTTCGCCAGCGCGGCCGCGGCCATCGCCTGGCAGAGGTCGCTGCCGTCGTCTTCGACCACCGCGAGCAACAACGTCTCGACGCCGCTGGCCTCGGCGATTACTCGCCGGAGGCATGGGTTGACCGCGAGGTTCGTGAGCGCCCAGCAGGCCTGCTCCTTGGCACCGACGCTGCCATGCTCGACGAGGTCGACGAGGAGCGGCACGGACCCCGCCGCAGCGATCACCGCCTTGTTGCAGTCGTCGACTGCGAGGAGCACCAGCGCTCGCGCGGCGGCCTCCTGCGCCTCGTCGTTGCCGACGTCGCGCAGCAGCTTCAGAGCGAAACCGAGGTCCATCACTTGACGAAGCCGAAAGAGTTCCTGGCTGCGCGGGGCAGCTAGTGGATTGAGGAGGGGGGAAGCACCACTGCGCTCATCAATCCGTTGCGAGATGTTTCCCTTGGCAAGTCCAGTACGTTGGCCAGTGCGGGGCAGCGTATAGAGAGCTCTTTGCGCCGACTCCCGCGCGTGTTCGAGCCCTTGCGTGCGCACGACCCCATCGCTATCATGGCGCCCGACAGCAAAACCCTCAAGGCCATCCGGGAAGCCGGCGGCTGCGCTTTGCAGGTCGCAGACGGCTGTCTCGGTAAGAAAGCGACAGCTGGGACGGCAAAATCGTGGCGCGAGGTGCCGAAGGGCGCCGCTGTCAAGAACTCGTCGGGATACTCCTGCAATCCATGCCACATGCACTCGTATAAGCAGCAACGGGCCAGGGACGCGGCGGGACCGGCAGCGGCGACGCGGACGAAACGCAAGATCTTGTCGCCGAACCGCGGCGCGGGCATGTCGCCGGGCCCCGAG